GAAAATGTCTGGAGCACCAACAGATATTTGGAGATGGAAGAGAACTGGATATCAGCTCGTCTCACAGCTGCTATCCAGACTAGACGCCTTCATTTGGTAACATCCCATACAATAGCTGCCTCATGTTGCTTCCAGGTGAGGAAAGAATGAAAAGATAAACCATTTTCAACCTTATTCCCTTGCCGGTCGTGCGATCTAACTTTACAACCGACCGCACAGCAAGTATGAACCATAGCTGGTGTTATCCGTGTACTTTCGCTCCTCTTTCGCTAGCGCTTTGTTCGGCCCAGAAATATGGCGCCTCAACCAAAAATCCTGGCCCCCCTCTTCTGACATCACTCTCCAAAAGGCCTATTAGGCTAATCGTTGTGTCACTTCCGGTATTTCAGACAATCCCTTTCCGTCAAGGTTTTTTAATTTGTTGCGTTTTTTTAATTTGTTGCAGTTTTTTAATTTGTTGCCGTTTTTTAATTTGTTGCGCTTTGCACTTCCCAGCCACCATACTGTAAGGATTAAAGACGTCTTGCCACCCTAACTTCTTGAACGTGGAACTGCTGGGGCAAGACGTTTGCATAATTAGGGGCGTGGCCTCTTTGACGGAACAGGCCGATGGCCACACAGGCGCTAGCTGTCTGCTAGCTTCACCTTTGCTAACTGTGAACCGTTGTTGGAGCCTTTTGGAGCATTTTTAATGTCATCATGTGAGGTTACTGTAGTAACAGACTGTCCAAGAAGGCGGAGCTCCAGGTTTAGTGCCTGCACTAATTAGCATAAGGTCACCTCTAAGATGGCATGAGCCAAAAACCAGCATTAAGTGCACACAGTGGGTAATTTCAAAGTTGTTGCTTCCATCTTTATCCACACTATAGGAAAGTGTGTGTAAATGCTTAGTAGTCTTTGATGTTCTTCATATCAAATATTACGCTTCCATTTAAACACAATAACGGCGGCGCTACACTAAAATTATTCCTCCTGCAGACGTGTCTCCTGGACTTGAGCTGGTTTTTATTCTGATCTTCTTCGTGTGGCTGGAGGAACATATTTGATACTCATCACTGTGTCAGTCCAATACAGAAAAACGACTGTGGCAGCAGCATGCAGCAACTTTATTTGTACAGGGCAATCCTTTGTGTGTCTTCATCTCCTCTGAACTGTGGGCTGGGACACAGCGTCAGTCAGCCTTAGCCCTGTTTCCACTGTTGACATTCCTCATAAATCCTCGGCCAATTGAATCCTTTCACCGTGGTGAAAATGTTGGCTTTTTCCCAAACTGGGCGCTCTCCAAGAACCCGTGTGTGTTTTGCATGAAGTCACAGGATGTCATGAAGAGACGGTATAAA